CGAGGCGCCCCACATATTGGCGAGGCGCCCCACATATGAGCGAGGAGCTCTCTACACATCACCTCCCATCTCTAAGCCCGGTAAGGCAGCCCTAATGGCCCCCTGACACCAGATACGGCTCACAAGAGGTGCTGATTAGTCGCGCGAGACTGGCATTGATAACCTGTGGCACTGACTGAGGCTTCCACCCTTGTCATTGATGACCTCTGCCGCCCTATGTTACACTCACAGGGGCTTGCACGGTTGCCACTGACTACTCCTGCCATTCACAGACGAGGACGCTGCGTGTCTGGAACAGCAGACATCATACTGCAGCTCAAGCAGACATCATACTGCAGCTCAAGCAGACATCATAGAGATAACATCAGCTGCATATTCAAGGTTGGCCAACATAAGTATTGCCGTTAAGAACAAGACCGGGGAGTCCTTCACAGCCTTGTATAGCGCGTATGTCAGACCACACCTGGCATACCACACATGTCAGACCACACCTGGCATGCCACACATGTCAGACCACACCTGGCATACCACACATGTCAGACCACACCTGGCATACCACACATGTCAGACCACACCTGGCATACCACACATGTCAGACCACACCTGGCATACCACACATGTCAGACCACACCTGGCATACCACACATGTCAGACCACACCTGGCATGCCACACATGTCAGACCACACCTGGCATGCCACACATGTCAGACCACACCTGGCATGCCACACATGTCAGACCACACCTGGCATGCCACACATGTCAGACCACACCTGGCATGCCACACATGTCAGACCACACCTGGCATGCCACACATGTCAGACCACACCTGGCATGCCACACATGTCAGACCACACCTGGCATGCCACACATGTCAGACCACACCTGGCATACCACACATGTCAGACCACACCTGGCATACCACACATGTCAGACCACACCTGGCATACCACACATGTCAGACCACACCTGGCATACCACACATGTCAGACCACACCTGGCATGCCACACATGTCAGACCACACCTGGCATGCCACACATGTCAGACCACACCTGGCATGCCACACATGTCAGACCACACCTGGCATGCCACACATGTCAGACCACACGTGGCATACCACACATGTCAGACCACACCTGGCATGCCACACATGTCAGACGACACCTGGCATGCCACACATGTCAGACCACACCTGGCATACCACACATGTCAGACCACACCTGGCATACCACACCCGCAGTGAGGCCGCGTCTTGTCAAATACTGTATTACGAAGCAGAAGAGAAAATAGCAAAAGGAATACCAACAAACTTGTTCCAGAGCTAAGAGGCCTAAGTTAAGAGAGCAGACAACAGGAGCAAAACCTTTGCGTCTCAGAAAAACAGATATGAGCAAGACATACAAAATACTCGGGATAATTGACAGACTATTTGAAAAGGGAGAAACATGAACATGAGAACACTAGAGGAAATAAAAGTGCTAGAATAAGCCGCAGGCAGGTCTGGAAAATTTTGGAAAATCATAATAATAACTATTATTATTATTATTACTAGCCGTACCCGGCCACGCATTGCTGTGGCTCAGATGTGCGTTGCTGAGCCACAGCAACCTTCCCATGTCTCCCAGTCCTCCCCACCATCTCCCACTCCAACCCGTTCTCGCAAATTTAATAAGTCAATATTGACTTATTAAATATGTGCATAGGTGACATACTTAACATAATAGATACCCTTAAAAAGATTTATAGAAAACACCGACCTTACCTAACCTACTTAGTATGTTAAGATAAGCATCTTATTGCTTCGTAATTGCAATTATTACCTAACCTATAATAGGTATAGGTTAAGTAATAATTGTAATTACGAAGCAATAAGATGCTTATCTTAAGATACTAACAAGGTTAGGTAAGGAAGGTGTTTTCTATGAATCTTTTTAAGGGTATCTATTATGTTTAGTATATCACCTATGCACATAGTTAATAAGTCAATATTGACTTTACGAATTTGCGAGAACTGGTTGCCCACTCCCCTGTCCCCTTCTCCTTCCTACCATTCTCCATTCCCTGTCCCCTCGTCCCCACCATCCCCAACTCGCGTCCCCTCATCCTCCCTGCCATTCCCCACGCCCTCGTCCAATGCATTCCCAAATGATCTGATGTTCCCATCACTGAAATATTTAAGAAAAAGTTAAAAAACAAATTGAAAAATAATGAAAAAATAAAAAAATCAACTATACTCACAGAACGAACGGGATGGTAAACAACACAGCTCAATTCCAATGCTGAAAATAATTAAATCAAAATGAAAAAAATTGAAATCTATGAAAATTCAATTTGGCAATGCAATCGAAACATTGAAATGGAATCGTAACATATTTAGTATAGCGTGTGTTGCTCTTACGTGTAACAGATGGCGCTATTTTTTTTAAATCATGTTTTTACCTGTCACAGGTGTGGCATCTATACTTATACTCACGAAGTGAACAGTATGGTAAACAACATAGCTCGGTTCCAATGCAATGTTACACAAATTAATTAAATCAAAGTGAAAATAAATCGAAATGTATGAAAATTTAATTTGTCAATGCAATCGAAAACATTGAAATGGAATCGTACCATATATAGCGTGTATGGCTTTTATGTGCAACAGATGGCGCTGTTTCTTAAAAAAAAAAGAATGTTATACCTGTCACAGGTGTGGCATCTATACTTATACTTACTAAATGAACGGTAAGGTAAACAACACAGCTCAATGTCACACAAAATAATTCAATAAAAATTAAAATAAATCGAAATTTATGAAAATTAAATTTATCAATGAAATCGGAAACTATGAAATAAAATTCGTAACATATTTAGTATAGCGTGTGTGTTTCTATTACGTGCAACAGATGGCGCTATTTTTTTATAAAAAAACATGTTTTTACCTGTCACAGATGTGGCATCTATATAATAGGTATATAAAAACACGTGCATATTCGAATGGAACCATGTGTCAAATTTCAAAGCAATCGGTGAAGAACTTTGGGAGATTACAGCGTGTATTGCTCTTACATAATACAGATGGCTCTTTTTAAAAAAAAAAAACATGTTTTTCCTGTCACAGGTGAGGCATGTATATAGTAGGCACATAAAAACACGCAACTATTTGAATGCAACGTCGTGTCAAAATTTCAAAACAATCGCTAAAGAAGTTTCGAAGATTTCTGAAAAACATGAAAAACACAGTTTTCAAAAAAGCCTGTTTTTCCCGCCACAGACGTGACATCAATATAGTGTGTATATAACAACCTGCTCGGATGCAAATGGAACGTTGTGTAAAAATTTCAAGGCAATCGGGAAGCTCGGTGGTTAGGGAAGCCCGTGGCTGAGCGGGCAGAACACTCCACACGTGATCCTGTGGTTCCGGGTTCGATCCCGGGCGCCGGCGTGAAACAATGGGCAGTTTCTTTCACCCTGATGCGCCTGTTACCTAGCAGTAAATAGGTACCTCGGAATTAGTCAGCTGTCACGGGCTGCTTCCTGGGGGTGGAGGCCTGGTCGAGGACCGGGCCGCAGGGACACTAAAAGGCCCCGAAATCATCTCAAGAATCTCAAGATAAGAAGTATTATTGGTGAATATACAGGTGTGTGACGAGAGTAGGGGGGGAGGCTTCTTACTGGTGTTGTCGTCAGGTGTTGGAGACGGTGTAAACACCTGTCTAAATCACGCCCCCCTCCCCCCCGAAGCCAGGCTGCCTCTCACAGTCTTTATTACAGGTGTTGAGGGTGCCTCTCTCTTTATTACAGGTGTTGAGGGTGCCCCTCTCAGCCTTTATTACAGGTGTTGAGGGTGCCTCTCTCTTTATTACAGGTGTTGAGGGTGCCTCTCTCTTTATTACAGGTGTTGAGGGTGCCCCTCTCAGCCTTTATTACAGGTGTTGAGGGTGCCTCTCTGTCTTTATTACAGGTGTTGAGGGTGCCTCTCTCTTTATTACAGGTGTTGAGGGTGCCTCTCTCTGTCTTTATTACAGGTGTTGAGGGTGCCCCTCTCAGCCTTTATTACAGGTGCTGAGGGTGCCTCTCTGTCTTTATTACAGATGTTGAGGGTGCCCCTCTCAGCCTTTATTACAGGTGTTGAGGGTGCCTCTCTGTCTTTATTACAGGTGTTGAGGGTGCCCCTCTCAGCCTTTATTACAGGTGTTGAGGGTGCCCTTCTCTTTATTACAGGTGTTGAGGGTGCCCCTCTCAGCCTTTATTACAGGTGTTGAGGGTGCCCCTCTCAGCCTTTATTACAGGTGTTGAGGGTGCCCCTCTCAGCCTTTATTACAGGTGTTGAGGGTGCCTCTCTCTTTATTACAGGTGTTGAGGGTGCCTCTCTCTTTATTACAGGTGTTGAGGGTGCCTCTCTGTCTTTATTACAGGTGTTGAGGTTGACTCTCTCAGCCCTTATTACAGGTGTTGAGGTTGACTCTCTCAGCCCTTATTACAGGTGTTGAGGGTGCCTCTCTCAGGCACTCTCGCCTCATCAGCGTTAAAGTTATTAAGACTTGCTTCCTGATGAAACTTTCCTTAATAATCCTGTTGATGAAATAAATTATAAGGAATCTTGGAGAAGTGTTGTGGCGACGTTGTCCCAGGCTGGCGTGGGGGGAGTCGGGGCGGCGGAGCTGGAGCCTGGCCACCTGTGTGAGGTCTACGCGAGGTCTGGGCGAGGTCTGGGCTCCCAGTTCTGGACTGTTGCTCCCACCTACGGGGGTGAGCGCCCCCGGCCTCCCAAGCTTCCTGTGCACGGTCCTGTCTAAGGTTACGACTCTTATCACCGACAAGACCCTCGCTGCCATCCTCCTCCTCTCGTGTTCTCTAAATGGTATTACATTTCTCAATTTTGTTGCTGTTTGTTGATGGAGCCATCTTGTGGCCCCCTGGAGCCGTCTTGTGGTCCTTGGAGCTGTCTTGTGCTCCCTGGAGCCATCTTGTGGTCCCTGGAGCCGTCTTGTGGTCCCTGGAGCCGTCTTGTGGTCCCTAAAGCCGTCTTGTGGGCCCTGGAGCCGTCTTGTGGGCCCTGGAGCCATCTTGTGGGCCTTGGAGCCATCTTGTGGTCCCTGGAGCTGTCTTGTGGGCCCTGGAGCCGTCTTGTGGTCCTTGGAGCTGTCTTGTGCTCCCTGGAGCCATCTTGTGGTCCCTGGAGCCGTCTTGTGGTCCCTGGAGCCGTCTTGTGGTCCCTAAAGCCGTCTTGTGGTCCCTGGAGCCGTCTTGTGGTCCCTGGAGCTGTCTTGTGGTCCCTGGAGCCGTCTTGTGGTCCCTGGAGCCGTCTTGTGGTCCCTGGAGCCGTCTTGTGGTCCCTGGAGCCGTCTTGTGGTCTTTGGAGCCGTCTTGTGGCCCCCTGGAGCCGTCTTGTGGCCCCCTGGAGCCATCTTGTGGTCCCTGGAGCCGTCTTGTGGCTCGTGGAGCCGTCTTATGGTCCCTGGAGCCGTCTTGTGGCCCGTGGAGCCGTCTTGTGGTCCCTGGAGCCGTCTTGTGGCTCGTGGAGCCGTCTTGTGGTCCCTGGAGCCGTCTTGTGGCCCGTGGAGCCGTCTTGTGGCCCGTGGAGCCGTCTTGTGGTCCCTGGAGCCAGCTTGTGGTCCCTGGAGCCGTCTTATGGTCCCTGGAGCCGTCTTGTGGCTCGTGGAGCCATCTTGTGATCCCTGGAGCCGTCTTGTGGCCCGTGGAGCCGTCTTGTGGTCCCTGGAGCCGGCTTGTGGTCCCTGGAGCCATCTTGTGGTCCCTGGCGCCGTCTTGTGGTCCCTGGCGCCGTCTTGTGGTCCCTGGCGCCGTCTTGTGGTCCCTGGAGCCATCTTGTGGTCCCTGGAGCCATCTTGTGGTCCCTGGAGCCATCTTGTGGTCCCTGGTGCCATCTTGTGGTCCCTGGAGCCGTCTTGTGATCCCTGGAGCCGTCTTGTGGTCCCTGGAGCCATCTTGTGGTCCCTGGAGCCATCTTGTGGTCCCTGGAGCCATCTTGTGGTCCCTGGAGCCGTCTTGTGGTCCCTGGAGCCGTCTTGTGGTCCCTGGAGCCGTCTTGTGGTCCCTGGAGCCGTCTTGTGGTCCCTGGAGCCGTCTTGTGATCCCTGGAGCCGTCTTGTGATCCCTGGAGCCGTCTTGTGGTCCCTGGAGCCGTCTTGTGGTCCCTGGAGCCGTCTTGTGGTCCCTGGAGCCGTCTTGTGGTCCCTGGAGCCATCTTGTGGTCCCTGGAGCCATCTTGTGGTCCCTGGAGCCGTCTTGTAATTCCTGGAGCCATCTTGTGGTCCCTGGAGCCGTCTTGTGGTCCCTGGAGCCGTCTTGTGGTCCCTGGAGCCGTCTTGTGGTCCCTGGAGCCGTCTTGTGATCCCTGGAGCCGTCTTGTGATCCCTGGAGCCATCTTGTGGTCCCTGGAGCCGTCTTGTGGTCCCTGGAGCCGTCTTGTGGTCCCTGGAGCCGTCTTGTGGTCCCTGGAGCCATCTTGTGGTCCCTGGAGCCATCTTGTGGTCCCTGGAGCCGTCTTGTAATTCCTGGAGCCATCTTGTGGTCCCTGGAGCCGTCTTGTGGTCCCTGGAGCCGTCTTGTGGTCCCTGGAGCCGTCTTGTGGTCCCTGGAGCCATCTTGTGGTCCCTGGAGCCGTCTTGTGGTCCCTGGAGCCGTCTTGTGGTCCCTTGAGCCGTCTTATGGCCCGTGAAGCCGTCTTGTGGGCCCTGGAGCCGTCTTGTGGTCCCTGGAGCCATCTTGTGGTCCCTGGAGCCATCTTGTGGTCCCTGGAGCCATCTTGTGGTCCCTGGAGCCATCTTGTGGTCCCTGGAGCCGTCTTGTGGTCCCTTGAGCCGTCTTGTGGTCCCTGGAGCCGTCTTGTGGTCCCTGGAGCCGTCTTGTGGTCCCTGGAGCCGTCTTGTGGTCCCTGGAGCCGTCTTGTGGTCCCTGGAGCCGTCTTGTGGTCCCTGGAGCCGTCTTGTGGTCCCTGGAGCCGTCTTGTGATCCCTGGAGCCGTCTTGTGATCCCTGGAGCCGTCTTGTGGTCCCTGGAGCCGTCTTGTGGCCCCTGGCGCAATCTCGTGGTCTCTGGAGCCGTCTTGTGGTCCCTGGAGCCGTCTTGTGGTCCCTGGAGCCGTCTTGTGGTCCCTGGAGCCATCTTGTGGTCCCTGGAGCCGTCTTGTGGTCCCTGGAGCCGTCTTGTGGTCCCTGGAGCCATCTTGTGGTCCCTGGAGCCGTCTTGTAATTCCTGGAGCCATCTTGTGGTCCCTGGAGCCGTCTTGTGGTCCCTGGAGCCGTCTTGTGGTCCCTGGAGCCGTCTTATGGCCCGTGAAGCCGTCTTGTGGGCCCTGGAGCCGTCTTGTGGTCCCTGGAGCCATCTTGTGGTCCCTGGAGCCATCTTGTGGTCCCTGGAGCCATCTTGTGGTCCCTGGAGCCGTCTTGTGGTCCCTGGAGCCATCTTGTGGTCTCTGGAGCCGTCTTGTGGTCCCTGGAGCCATCTTGTGGTCTCTGGAGCCGTCTTGTGGTCCCTGGAGCCATCTTGTGGTCCCTGGAGCCATCTTGTGGGCCCTGGAGCCGTCTTGTGGGCGTGGGCCCTGGAGCCGTCTTGTGGTCCCTGGAGCCATCTTGTGGTCCCTGGAGCCGTCTTGTGGTCCCTGGAGCCGTCTTGTGGTCCCTGGAGCCGTCTTGTGGTCCCTGGAGCCGTCTTGTGGTCCCTGGAGCCGTCTTGTGGTCCCTGGAGCCGTCCCTGGAGCCGTCTTGTGATCCCTGGAGCCGTCTTGTGGTCCCTGGAGCCGTCTTGTGGTCCCTGGAGCCATCTTGTGGTCCCTGGAGCCGTCTTGTGGTCCCTGGAGCCGTCCCTGGAGCCGTCTTGTGATCCCTGGAGCCGTCTTGTGGTCCCTGGAGCCGTCTTGTGGTCCCTGGAGCCGTCCCTGGAGCCGTCCCTGGAGCTGGAGACCGCGTCTCAATAAAGTGTGTATATGAGGGGGAAACATCACCCTTGGCTTCATGTATCCCATCTCTTCACCAGTTATGTTTAGTCTCAGTCTTTGTTATTCCTCTCCCTCCCCCCCCCATTACCCTCTTCTTCCTCCCCCCCCCCATTACCCTCTTCCTCCTCCCTCCCCCCATTACCCTCTTCTTCCTCCCCCTCCCCATTACCCTCTTCTTCCTCCCCCCCCCATTACCCTCTTCTTCCTCCCCCCCCCATTACCCTCTTCTTCCTCCCCCCCCCCCTCATTACCCTCTTCTTCCTCCCCCCCCATTACCCTCTTCTTCCTCCCCCTCCCCCTTCCTAAGAAGACCTTCCATAACCATCTTAGTCACGCCTTCACCTCGGTCGCGCCTTGGTGTCCCGACTGCCGCGGTCCCACCTGCAGTCAGGGAAGCAGCTGGCCTTTACCTAGCAGACCCTAGCAGACCCTAGCAGACCCTAGCCAAGGGGAGCCTAACCAAGGGGGGACCACAACCTAGGGGACCACAACCTCCGGGACCACAACCTAGGGGACCTAACCTAGGAGATCGAGGGGAAAACCGAGGGGAAAGTAACTTAGGCATAGTGGCCAGGCATCCCAAAGCCAGTAGATACTCTGCAGTCAGAGGCGCGTCACGCAACATGGCCAGAGGCGCGTCACGCAACATGGCCAGAGACGCGTGACGCAACATGGTCAGAGACGCGTCACGCAACATGGTCAGAGACGCGTCACGCAACATGGCCAGAGACGCGTGACGCAACACAGCCAGAGACGCGTGACACAACACAGCCATAGACGCGTCACGCAACACAGCCAGAGACGCGTCACGCAACACAGCCAGAGACGCGTCACGCAACACAGCCAGAGACGCGTCACGCAACACAGCCAGAGACGCGTCACGCAACACAGCCAGAGATGCGTGACGCAACACAGGCAGAGATAAGATCAGTGCCTCTAGAGATAATAACGGGAGGCATTGTAATGGTCATCTTCGGGTAATAATAAAGTAAGACCTCAGTGTGTAGTGACGGGCGGGCCTGGCCGCCCACACCAAGAGGTGGGCGGCCCCCGCCTGGCTCCTCCACGGCGCCCACCACCCCACGGAGCCTCCATTGTTAGACCAAGATGTGCGCGGGCTGATGCTCACGTGTGTGTGTGGCGGCGTAGAGAAGCGGGAAGGGGTTATCTTCTTGAGGTTATCTTGAGATGATTTCGGGGCTTTAGTGTCCCCGCGGCCCGGTCCTCGACCAGGCCTCCACCCCCAGGAAGCAGCCCATGGCAGCTGACCAACACCCAGGTACCTATTTTTACTGCTAGCTAAGGGTGTGGGGGGTGTAGTTTTCCTGCACAAGACTCTAGTGCTCAACCCACATACACCCCCAGCAGCCAGTTACGGCTCACACGAGTAGTTCACGCCCCCAGGAGGGGGGGGGTCCAATGGGAGTAGTTTGCTTGTAATCCTCTTGAGGGGATTACTTAACTCTGTCTCTTAATAACTCCCACCGAAAGAGTGGAAATTCACGACCCCCCCCCTGCCTCTGTTGCCATGTCACTGTTAATATGACACTGTTGACATGTCACTGTTGACATGCCACTGTTGACATGACACTGTATACATACCACTGTTGACATGACACTGTTGACATGACACTCTTGACATGACACTGTATACATACCACTGTTGACATGACACTGTTACCGTGCGACTGTTGACATGACACTGTTGACATGTCACTCTTGACATGACACTCTTGACATGACACTGTATACATACCACTGTTGACATGACACTGTATACATACCACTGTTGACATGACACTGTTGACATGACACTCTTGACATGACACTCTTGACATGACACTCTTGACATGACACTGTTGACATGACACTGTATACATACCACTGTTGACATGACACTGTATACATACCACTGTTGACATGACACTGTTACCGTGCGACTGTTGACATGACACTGTTGACATGTCACTGTTGACATGCCACTGACAACAGTGAAGTACTCACTTCAAGACCCCGAACCAACATGGAAGCAGCAAGAGGAAGTGTGGCCCAATAGGCCTTTTGCAGTTACTTCCATTCTTATGTTCTCATTCCCATTGTTTCGTGTTCTGTCTTCTGTTTCACCTCACCCAAAACGAGTATAAGTATGAATGTATTTTGTGTGTAAGCACAACTTACGGGCTCACCATAGCCCGTGCTACATGGACACTTCGTTCTGAGTAGTTAAATCTAAAACAGCATGTGTGTAAGCTAAGTCTTTGAAAATGTGATAAGGAATTATTTTGAATTATTATTCTTACCCTTTCGGTCATTTTCAACAAATATATATATATATATATATATATATATATATATATATATATATATATATATATATATATATATATATATATATATATATATATATATATGTCGTACCTAGTAGCCAGAACTCACTTTTCAGCCTACTATTCAAGGCCCGATTTGCCTAATAAGCCAAGTTTTCCTGAATTAATATATTTACTATAATTGTTTTCTTATGAAATGATAAAGCTACCCTTTTCACTATGTATGAGGTCAATTTTTTTTTATTGGAGTTAAAATTAACGTAGATATATGACCGAACCTAACCAACCCTACCTAACCTAACCTATATGTATAGGTAAGGTTAGGTTAGGTAGCCAAAAAAAGCTAGGTTAGGTTAGGTAGGTTAGGTAGACGAAAAAACATTAATTCATGAAAACTTGGCTTATTAGGCAAATCGGGCCTTGCATAGTAGGCTGAGAAGTGAGTTCTGGCTACTAGGTACGACATATATATATATATATATATATATATATATATATATATATATATATATATATATATATATATATATATATATATATATATATATATATATATAATATAGAGGGTACCACCTCTGGTGCAATTATAGGGACCCGCAGTCTCAAAGAAGGGAACAGAGCATTCAGAGAAAAACTTGCCATTTAACTGTGAATACGTCTGAACGTATGAGTGTTCGCTTCTCCAACCCCCCCCCCCCCCCTTCTTTTTATGTTGTACACTTTATTATGCAAGGTTATACAGTTACATATCTAATTGTTTACAAGAAATGAATATTGAGAGGACATAAGAAGAAGTTCGCTTCCTAGAGGCTGTAGATTTCTTCGACCTCCTCCGACGTCGGGCAGGAACCGAGGATGCAGCGAGCATTTTCCCTCTGGATCGCGGCACTGAAGGGCTGGAAGAGAAAACTTGCCGCTCTAGGGTCTCTTGAAGTGTTAATGAGCCTGGAACCAAGATCCTTAAGAACCCTTCTTGCACTCTCTCCCCATGGGCCTAGGGTCTCAGACCCTATTGGAACGAAGTTGTACCGATGATCTAATTGCCTGTACTTGGCTGACTTGTGTCTTTATCTGTGTGTCGCTGCGGCTCCTGCTGTGCCGGCAGAGAGGTTGATGTATGTGGTTGCCAGGGTGGATACGCAAGTATAGTTCCATGCCAATTGTCTGCCACCCTTCCAAGGGCGCAGTGTGATTCCGTCTGGTCGGCCGGCATAGCTAACAGAGTCACGGTTCAATAGACT